GCAGTGCAGCACTGCTGTGTTCTCCCTGCCTTGGCAGCTCTGCTCCCAAATGCAAACCACATGTCCTGTGCATGCATGAGCTGCTTCCCGCTGCCCAGAGCTCCCGGTTTGTTCTCAGCTTGCTCTGGAACTTCTAATACTTGTGAAAATAAAGGGAGGGTCTGTTTGTATTGTTTATAGTGGGAAAGAACAGTGCAAGATTTCATCTGCTGCTGTTCAGATCTCTTGCTATTTTTGGTATTTGACCTCTGCAGAGAAGACTGCCAGAACTACAGGTCTTTTAAATTTTTTTTACGTGTTTCTACCCTCCTACTCATACGTTACTCTTACATTAGTGATTAAACCTTTGAGAATGTGCCATTTTTCCACATTTTCTCCCGTATTTTTTAAAGGAAAATTTGTATTTCTAGGTATTTTTGAGCTAACATTCCCTTTTGGAAAGAAGAACTATGCAACTTGGCAGCATCTTCTGTACACCACTCAAAGGGAAAGGGAAATAACTTATGATTTGCTGGTTTATCTTTTGAAAAAAGTTCTGGATTGAAGAGGACTGATGAGTCTGTTGGCTTGAACTGAAGCTGTAACGTTTAGAATACTGCACAAACAGCACAGCAGAATTGCTGGGACAATGTTAAGTGTTTAGTTTGTGCAGATAGGTACTCGCTTTTCATTTCTCCACCATTGGAAAGGGCTGCCTTCTGCACAACTGTTGGCTTCTAGTCTTGCTGTGTGGTTGTTTCCACACTCCACTAGTGAAAAACACACAGCAAAGGCATCTGAAAATCCTGTCCTGCCTCTTTGGCATCACTTCCACTTCATGCCTTCTATTCTAAACATCGAGTTTATTTCTTTTATGAAGGAGCCCTGTAGGATGCCCTTGGAGGTCAGAATATTTGAGGCTATTTCAGAGAACAGTATTTTTTCTGAGTTCCCAAGATGTGAGTTTTGAGTATCCTTCCAGAAGTTTATTGTGTCTGGTAGTTGTGGTATCCAGGAGATGTGCAGGGGTTGCATGTAACTGTGTACTTAAATTCATAGAACAGATCACCCAAGTGTAGTTCCAGAAGTCTAGATATAATAACATAGAAATTTCAGGTTTAATTTATAAAAGGTGGCTTTTCCTGGCTCGGGGGGTGCAGGTGTGGGCACAGCACAAAGATTCAGCTGTTCCACATAAGGAATGTGATCCCTAAGGATGAGATTGCACCTCTGTTTCAAGCACAAGGGACTGGCCAGAGGCAGCACCTCCAGCCAGGTACTGGTGTGTCATCCCCATGATGGTGCTTTCCTGGCAGCTTGACATCACCTGGATTTTGTCAGTGTTGAGACTGTAGATCCAGACCGTGGGTGACTTTGCTGGAGAAAGTAAAAAACCTGAATTTAATGAACTACCTCACATTCTGAGCAGAGGAGGAACCATGGGGAAAGAAGAGCTTTTGGCCAGTGTCCTCTGTGATTTTTTCTGAGATTGGAGCAGTCCAAGAGGAAGCTGTTGGTACAACTCTGTGTCAGAGAGTTTGTCATACAAACCTGAGCAGTTCTCTTCTCTCATCATCACAACTGGCTGTTGTTCTATGTCCAAAATGTTTCAAAGACTGATTTTGCCAAAGGATTCTTTGGAAAACAGATTCCTCTGTTGTTGAACTTAAGGAACTAGAAGTGCCTCAGTGCGGGGGACCGTGTGCTTTGTCGGTGGCTGCAGTCCAGTGCTTAGTTATCTCCTATTGTGTTTGGAAGACCATTGTTTCCTATTTGTCTCATAAATTTAACACAGATCCTATTCCTGCCATTTAAACTTTCCCATCAAAATACAACAGTGACTTCCCCTTCTGAAAAGGAAGGGCTGGCAGCTACACCCTGAAGTTTGAGCATGAATTGTTTATATAACCTTCAATCACGATTTCATAATAGTATGAAGACTTTCTGACTGAGGCAGACATTTTACTGAGTTTTTAGCAAAAACCTAGCTGCCATTGAACACAATTTTAAGACTTCTTAGTTGTTGCAGTGGAAATAGAATTGAAAACTGAACCCTTCAGCTTCCTGATGGTAGAAATTGCACTTCTGTCTGAAAACATGAACAGCATTTTCTGGTTTTTCAGAATAGCTGTACTGAAGTCATTCTGGGCAAAAGCTTAAAAGTTGCGTTGAGCTAATTTTATTTCCCAGAAAATATTATTAAACCTGAATGAACCTCCTTTTGCAGACTCTGGCTTTTTACAACTTCTGGGTATTTGTAGAGTTCCCTCGCCTTCCCCAGCAGTAAAAGCTCTGACATGAGTGTTATAGAAACTGCTTATTGAAAGATACTCTCTATCACAGTCAGTAATATTTAGATAACTGTAGCTTGCCTTCCAAATGGATGACATTTGTCAGGAACATGTCTGTTTGAGTTTACTTGGCCTTTTGAGTAGACAAAGTCTGAATATTTAGAGCTTAAAATTCAGGTCAGCTTGGAAAACTACATTTTTCTTACAAGAAATTTACAGAGATAACCTGATTTTTTTAGTAACCATAGCACTGCAGGAGAATGAAATGCAATGGTTTACAAAAACTCCTTTTTCCACCCTCAAGCATGTGTGTTTGAAACTCTATTTAAATAGAAGCTTCCATTGTAATTCTTCAGTAAATTGAATTAAGCAGTTTTCCTAATTAATAATGTTGAAAATATTTTATTTCTTCAGTTTATATTATTAATTTGCATGGATGTTTAACAGTTTTGTGTTTAAGCAGCGTAGCAAACAGCGTTTGAGAACAGTTGGCTTTATGTAATAGTTCTAGTAAAAGCTTGTTTCATTTGAGGACATACCCAGAAAAGTAAGTAAGGAACAAGTTCTGTGGGTAGGTTGTACACAGGGTAATGCCAGAAAACACGTTGAACGTCTTTGCTTTAGAAGGGAAAGGAGTTTCCACAGGATGTCTGCATTTTATGGCAAAAATGCCTGGTGGATGTGCTCTGAAAGGTTGCTTTGATGTAGAAGATTAACCTGGGGACCTCATTGTCAGGATATTACTGAGGCAAATCGCTTAGTGAGATTATTTGTGACTTGGGAATTAAGTTTTTATATGTGCCTGCTTAAGTTGTTTTTTAAGAATTTGCTAGTTTGTCACATGGTGTCGTGAATATTTGTGTGTACCAAACCAGAGGAGGGAAAGCAAACCCCTGAAACCACAAACAACTCCAAGAAGGGAAAAAAAAGGCAGAATGCAGTTTGTCATAGCAACTTTTCCTTTGTTTTTGGTCTCTCATGGACAATTAAAATAATTACAACTAAAGCAAGTAATGCAGGGAGACATGTAATTCCACCACTTAAAATCCAGCCTGGAGAATTTGCAGAAAAATTGATGATAGAACAGCTGGGAAGGCATGAGAATATTTTCTTGTGTTCTGTGTCTGCCTGATTTTTATTCCATTCCTCTTTGGATTTTTTTTTAAAGGATCATTTCATGCATGTGATATCTGGGATTGGCTGCTGGTCCAGACCTTAAGGAAATATCAGTACCAGTGAGAAATCACTGGAGTGTTGACCCCTTAAAGACTGCTGTGATTCCCTCAGTGTTTGGGTTTTGATTCTTTTTAAACACAGATTAATGGTCTAATTGAACCTGTGTTTTTGACAGAACTGGATGACTGCAATGACATACCTACATCTTCCTTTAAAAAAATGGTTGTAGTTCGTGAGCCACTAAAACCATTGCAAATATCTCTTTAAAATGTAAATGCTGCTGAGCTTTTCCTGACTCTGAATTGATGGAGTCTTTACTGCAATTACAGAATAGAATTTTCTGTTGTGTTATAGAAAGGAAAACTATGTTTTTCGTTTTATTTAGGGCATGTTTTAGAAGTGAATCTGTGAGAGGATCCAAGAGAATTTTGTTTAATTTTGGTTTTGCTGGGTAAAGTTTGCATTTGTGTGCATTGCTGAAATAGTTTGGGTTTCTAGGAGGGCTCAGTAGTGGCAGAGAGGAATTGCCTCTGAAGGGAAGATTTTTATCAGCTGCACTAAAAGCCAGTGTTCTGTGGTTTTACAGGAGGCTCAGAAAACGTTGAGGTGCTTAATTGCAGTGAATTCCACAGGTCACGTAGCCTGTTTAGGTGGTCCCTGATATGCTGGCAGGTGTTTCTGTGCGTCATTGGGCACCTAAATACTCGTAAAATTACCTCACCAGGCCATTTCAGGCTGTGTAGTTTTGGTCTTGTTCTCTGCCTCCCCTGTGCACGTCCCTCAGCACAGAAGTTCCCTTTAGAAGTCTCCTGTTGTACTGGTGCAGCTGTTTGTGGGCTGTGCTTCCTAGAACGAAACTTACTTCTCCTCAGGTAGAGGGGCTGGCTGCATTTTGTTTGCATTTGTGGAGAACATCATGTTACTTTATAAAAATAATAAAGCAAATTTAGCTAAGTGACTTTCCTGTGATTCCCAGATAGACTGTTTAATCTGTTAAGGGGATTATGTGGTGTAGTGCTTACAGACACGAGGGACTGAACTCCTTGAATCAGGGAACCCTTTCCTGCTCTGTGTTCCTGTGAATGAAGTTGTGCTGGGGAGGACATTGAGGTAATTTAATTTTAGCTCTGTGCATCACTTCTGCACAAGATACTTCCTCGTACGTGTTCTTAAAGCTAACACTGTTGAAGAATGCTGTAATTAAAACTCTGCTTGGCTTTTATTTATTGCAGATTTCTGGCCAGGCTGGGGAGATGACAGCAGTGGAGAAGGTGGAGGAGCAGCTGGCGGCTCTGTGCATAGCCAGGCGCTGTGTGCCCAGCGAGGAGCCCTCCTACCTGCTGGACATCGACACCTCCACCGCTGCCCAGCCCGGCAGCAGCCGCCTCGTGGCCGTGTCGTGTTCCAGCCAATCCCTCAGGCTGTACGACAGGGAATCACTGCGCTTCCTGCGGGAGTACCGCGCCCACCCCGGCTCCCTCAGCGGGGTCAGGTTTGCCCACACGTGTGACAGCCTGGTGTTCTCAGCCTGCAGCCAGGGCACGGTGCAGTGCTGGGACGCTCGCTCAGCCACGCAGAAGCCTGTGCAGGTGTTCACTGGATATCCTTCCAACGTCTTCATCAGCTTCGATGTCAGCTGCAATGACCTCATCGTCTGTGCCGGAACGGAAAAAGTCGAAAAGGACACGTTTCTGGTGTTTTGGGATGCAAGAGGCGTTACAGACTGTGCCAGTGCCACTAAAGAACCCTTGGGAGTCTACTCTGAAAGTCACAATGATGACATCACCAAAATCTGTTTTCATCCTGTGGAACCCAATTTGGTAGTGTCTGGGTCAACCGATGGCTTGGTGAATGTGTTTGACATCAACAAGGATAACGAAGATGATGCTTTGATATCGACCTGCAATTCGGATTCCTCGGTGAGTTCACTTGGCTGGTCTGGGGAAGATTACAAACAGGTCTATTGCATGACACACGATGAGGGGTTCTGCTGGTGGGACATGGCTCAGCTGGACACCGAAGAACCAATAACCCTGCTGCACGTTCTGGATGTCAGAGAGTCAGTCTGCACTGAAAACCACGGCCTGCATTACCTGGTGGGTGGCTTGTACCACGAGAAGGCAAAGAAACTCTTCCTGATTGGGGGAACCTCCACAGGGAACATCCACCTGATCAGCTGTGGCACCGATGGCCTGAGCCTGGTGGGGACCCTGAGTGGGGGACACTCGGCCACCGTGCGCTCCTTCTGCTGGAGCCCCACGGATGAGTCTCTGCTGACGGGTGGAGAGGATGCTCAGCTGTTGCTATGGAAACCCGGGGCTGTGGAAAGGTCCCTCACAAAGAAAGCGTCTCTGAAGATCTCTTCTTCCCTGCAGAAGAGAGTGAGAGTTCACAACACCTCCCTCAAAAGCAGGAAAAAGTGCAGTGCCTAAAGTGGGAATCTCTGCTGTGTAGAGCTTTTCCTGGTGTTTAATCTCCCTAGGCAATACTTGCCCGTGTTTTATTTGGAGGTTTTCTGTGGAACGAACTGTGATGCTTGAATTCCCCCTGGGAATGTATTTCAGTCATCAGAAGAATGCCTTTTATTTTTTTTTAAGTTGCTAATATTAATCAGGAAAGAGTAAATGCTTGCTCCTGAACAACAGATGTTAAATCATATTATATAAAACTGTTCCTGTGGTTATTTAATGTCTCAGACAATGTTTTAAATGTGTAATACAGGCATGTGGCTTGCATAGTTTGTTACCTTCCCAATTATATTCCCTGGCGCATTTTAAAAGCTTTTGTATGCCATGCTGTATTTTGCTTTCTTCACAGAAAACTTAATGAAATTGCTCAATTTAGTAAAAGATTTTATGTCACATCCTAATGCCTGAAGGAATTACTTCTTGATGAAATAGAAAATAAATAGTTTTGCACTATCACATCACTGGTTTAGAACAAGCTCATAAAGAAGCAGCTGATAGAGCCATCTTTTTCATAGCAGATATGAATGTATTCAACCAAACAGCAGCTAATTTGTATGAGTATGAGAACTGTTAAACTGGCATTATTTCCTGCATGAAAATACCCAAGAATTTTGCAAGCAGCTTCATTCTCTTCTACTAAGTGCACCTGGAAGACTGGGAAGATCTTTGGTGGGTTGGAGAAATTGATGGGTATAATTATACCAGTGGTGCTTAAAATCCTAAACCCTGACTTGAAAGAAACTGGTATCACATGCCAAGTGGAGATGCTGAAACCCAAAAATGAATACTTCCTTCAGAGACTGTAGTTATGGAGGAACAGACTGATATGAGGAGATTTTAACAAAACCTTTTAGAGGTTGACCTGGGTCCTTTAAGAAATATTTCTCTCTGTAGAGGGGTTTATGCTTGGACATCTCCCCAGGAGAGCTTTGTTTTCTTTTTTCACCAAATACCTTTGAGTGGTGCAAAACCAGCCCTGTACCTGTAAAATGAATGAGACTTCATGCTTATTCTGCTTTGCTGGCAGAAACCAACCTATGCTCCTGGCTCCAGCCTTCCCAGGACCACTGCAGGCAAACGGTGTTGGTGTTTAGGCTGTACTTACACATGTGCACTAAACTGAAACCAGCCCCAGAGTATTTAAGAATTGCTCTGTTATAGATTAGCTGGCAAAGGATTTAAGAGGGGTTCAGTTGTTTTTTTTTTCCCCTTGAGGATGGCTAGGTAATTCAGAACAAGTCCTGAACATCAGGTTTAGAGGATTATCCTGGAGTTTAGAAACAGTTTCTGAGGTACAGAACATACTCTAGTGCATGGTTACAGCTGTGCTGAAGATGCCTGAATCATCTCTGGAATTGAATCCATTGCAGCCACAAGTGTCGAGTTTCCACACGATGTTTCACAAACTGTTAATACCCTTTAGCCACAACTGTGAATCCATTGTTGGTTTGGGTTTGCCTGTTGGTGATAAGTTAAGATGATTCACTTGGTTTTGTTACTGCTGTTTATTTAAAAGTGCAGCTTCAATTTGAAAATCACGGCTCTCTACACATTTTTTTGTTACTTGTGTTACATTCATGTTGCCCCCAACATCCTTATCTGTTGCTTTCCAGATTACATTGTGCTATTTTGAGATGAGGTGAGCAGTGAGTGTCAGGGCTATGATGCACCTGGGTCCGTGTGCCCTCTGAAGATTTATTATCCCAGATCACTGTTTTTTGCCTATTGTGTAACTGAGTGGGCCAAGAGCTTCAGACTCTTGAGTTCACTATAAAGCCCTCAAGGGCCTGACTTGCTTCAGTGCCAGATTGGGGGTGGGGGACTGAAGGATGACTCTGAGACCTTTTTTATTGCAGGTACAATGTATAACTTGCTTTTTAGATGTTTACCCACTCTTTTTCTGGTATCTTGACGCATTCAGTGGAGTAAAATCGTTGGGTCTGTCTCATACTTGATTTCTTGAAGACAGGTTTGTGAGCACGTAGGAAAATGCACAGAGGGAGCTTGTGGTTGCCTCCACTTGCTTTCAAGTGTCTGCTGAGTGAAATTCCAGTGTGCTCTGCCAGCTGCCACTGAATTAAAGCAGCAGAGGTGTGAGTTCTGGGACTGAAGAGTTTGCAGTGTGCAACCTGTGCCTGTTATCTTGTTTCTGGTTTAGGCGGATATTGATTTGTTCTGTATCAGTCACAGCTGAAGCCATGATTTTCCCTGGGAAGCTGATTTCTCCCTTTTACGTGCATAACAGAAATAGCAGTGGAAGGGAAAAAATGTGTGTCTGTATCTTAAAATTCCGCAAAGGCACAGCAGCTGTCACGAGACTGAGGCTTGTGTTGCCTCTGAAAATACTCAATTTTGTTTTTTCTCTTTTTCTTTTGTGTTGACTTAATTTCAAGTTAATACCGATAAAATAAGTATAGATGGAAACCACATGTGAACAAGTAATTAGCACTGCTTGTTTCTGTAAGCTGCAGACACTATTTCACAGACCACAGAGCACAAGCAGAATCCATGTGTGATCACATAAATAATAGACTCGAAATCAGGTTAATTTGTCTGACAATAGTTAATCTCTTACATTAATTTTGACATCTCCATGTTGGCTTCAGCATTGGTAAGAAACTCTGAATTAAGGAATCACAGAGTGATTTGGGTTGGAAGGGATCTTTAAAGGCCATTTAGTCCAACCCCCCTGCAAGGAGAAGGGACATCTTCTTCAATTCAACCAAGTTGCTCAGTCCCATCCAACCTGACCCTGAATGTTTCCAGGGATGGGGCATCCACCACCTCTCTGGGCAACCTGTGCCAGTGTTTTACCACCCTCATTGTAAAAATGTCTTCCTTATATATAAGGATCTGAATCTACCCTCTCAGTTCAAAACCTTTACCTCTTGTCCCATCCCAGCAGGGTCTGCTAAAACATTTGTCCCCATCTTTTCCATAGGCTCCCTTCAGATATGGAAGGAGTGCAAGAAGGTCTGTCCAGAGCCTTTTCTTCTCCAGGCTGCACACCCCAGCTCTCAGCCTGTGTTCCCAGCAGAGGTGCTCCAGCCCTCTGAGCATCTCTGTGGCCCCCTTTGAACCATCAGTCCTGTGCTGGGATCCCAGAGCTGGGTGCAGCACTGCAGGTGGGCTCTCAGCAGAGGGGCAGGATGCTCTCCCTGGCCCTGCTGCCCACGCTGCTGGGGATGCAGCCCAGGATGGAGTTTGTTTTCTGGGCTGCAGGCACACACTGCCAGCCCCTGGTAAGACTGTCCAGCAGCAGCACTGAGTCCTTCTTGGCTGGGCTGCTCCAGGTCCCTTCATCCCCAGCCTGGATTGGTAACAAGGGCTGCCCTGACCCGGCTGCAGCACCAGCACTTGGTCTTGGTCAGCCTCATGAAATTCTTATTCACTTCTTGAGCATGCACAGGTCCCTCTGGATGGCACCTCATCCTTCAGGAGTGTCAGCAGCACCACTGGGTTTGGCTGATCTGTTGAGGCTGCACTCAATCCCACTGTCTGTGCCAATAACTGAACAGTGCTGATCCCAGTACAGACCCCTGAGGGACGCCCTGACCTCTGTCTGGACACTGAGCTGTTGACCATTAGCCTCTGGATGTGACCATCCAACCAATTCCTCATCCACCCAACAGTCCATCATCAAAGCCATCTCTCTCCAATTCAGAAGGATGCAGTAGGGGACTGTGTCAAAGGCTTTGCAGGAGTCCAGATCTGACCTTTATAAAACTTATGTAATTGAAGCTATGTGCAAGTAGCTTTTGGAAGTCATCACTGTGTGAATTGTTTAACCTCAGGGGAAGCTTTAATTCCGGAAGCAGTATCAGATTTGTTCCAGTAAATGAAAATCAGAAATCCAGATAGACTACTTAAATGCAAAAAACAATGGCTGTCTTTATTCAGAGTTTATAGTAAACCTGTTGTACGATGTATCTGAGCAGCAGGAGATTATCCTGCTGTAAACACATGAAAATTAACTTATTGTATTTGGCACGTCCTGAAATTTACTCTTTGTTTCTTTTTCTTTTCTCTGTAATTAAAGTGCAGTACTCGCATGCTCAGTTTTTCAAGTAAAAGATGTTCAGGATGACATCCCATAGTCTGTGGATAACTTCATCAATTACTTGAGTGTAGGATTTTACCCACACCTTGGGGTTGAGGTGGAAATTATTTGACAAATCTAAAGTTGTGAATTCCTTTCTGGGTGGAATTTATTTAGCCAGTTGCCAGCCATAAGCTGTTCTGTGGCCAGATTCTATATGGCACATGTCCTGTGTATTCAAGCTGCATATCTACATTCAAATATCCCTTAGCAGAGAAGCTGATACAGAAAACGTTTCAAAGACATGAAATGCTGTTCCAAATGACAGCTTTCTCTTGGTTCCTGCTGCGCTGTGGCTCTGTAGGTCAGAGTGTTGTGTGAAGCAATGCATTTTGTCATGGGAAGTGCTGATTTGGCCCCTGCACATTCCTGGAGCTGCATCTTGTGTTTTACAGGAACCTGGACTGGTTGGGGTTGGAAGGAACCTCTGGAGATGACCTGGTCCAACCCCCTGCTCGAGCAGGTTCACCTAGAGCAGGTTGCACAGGATTGTGCTCAGGCAGGGTTTGAATATCTACAAGAAAAGAGACTCCACAACTCTCTGGGCAGCCTGGGCAGTGCTCTGCCACCTTCACAATAAACAAGTTTTTCTTCATATCAAATAGAACATCCTGTTAATCAGTTTCTGCCCCCTCCCCCTTGTCCTGTCACTGGAAAGAGCCTGGTCCCATCCTCTTGGCACTCAACCTTAAATATTTGTGTTTTGGGGAGAGGCTCCCTTCTTTCAGGAGGGCATTGGGTATGGATACAGTTAATTGCAGTGTCAGTTCATTAACAAAGCTTTTGTACTCCTCAAGGAACTGACACCCTTGCCCATCTCCTAAAGCTTGTCTGCATTTGCCATGGTTAATTTGGAGTTGTTTTCCTCCACTCCTTCTAAATGATCTTCTGTTGTTTGGCTTCTTGTTCTCTTTTTGGATGGGCTAGTGGCAAGTTGTGTTGGCACCTGTTTTTCTGAAGAGATGATGTTCCTTCCCTCTGTGAGCTCTCCTGCCCTGTGCATGGACTGCTGGACTCTGCACTTCCACACCACACCAATGGAGGGTGGGAAGCAGAGGGAGGGAAGAAAAAGGGGAGGTTGGCCCCACTGACCCTCTGACAGGGCATCTCTCCAGGGTAAGAGCCTTGATAAGGAGCTGGACCCTCTACCTTCTGAAATACATGGAAGAGCTAATTCTTGAGCTTGATGTAAGCGGGATAGTACCTCAAATAAATTATGCAAGACATAAACACCCTTTAAGCATAAAAGCCAGTTCCTGTTTGTCTGTGAGATGAGGTTTGTCTGTGAGATTGTCTGT